CCAGAACTAATTTTCCATAAAGATTCCAATTTTTTTTTTTTTTAAAATTGATAGTGCATTAATCTATACTTCAGGTCAACCTAACTTGAGAACATTGGATATAGTAGAGAATGTATGTGTCCGCCGTAGAATATAGTTCTACCATTTCGAGAAGTAATATTGTAAAAATTATGCTGTGGAATATGAATGCTGTTCAACAAAGAGAATGGAAGGAAAAAATGTGTGAAATGATAGATTATGTTGCATCCAGCTTCTTGCTTAAAAATTTCCTAAATCGTGTCAATCAGTCAGTGACCAGCAGGAAGAAATCCCCCTTTTTTGGCATTATTGGCGAAACTGAAAATTTGAGCAACCCCGACCTCACTCCACTTTTAACGAGAAAAACAAGTAAAGCATTCATTCACTGACTAGGAGGAGAAAAAAGTAATTGTTATAGTATCTGCTTCATCTTCGACATATATGTATAATTTTCAACCTCATGAAGCTGGAAAACTTCATAAACCTGAAAAAACAGTACTGCTAAGATTATCGTAATGAATGCTTTTGTCAAATTATGGGAGCAGTTTCCTAATAAATACAATAACGATATTGTTACTTGTTATAATCTTAGCGAGACTGAATACCTCAGTTAAAAAAAAGGCCTTTTTCCGGGCCACAAATTAAAAATACTACGGCCATTTTCAAGGCCAAAAATAAAATTTAAAAAAAGGCAGAACTATAAACAGTTATAAACAACATTATAAATACAAGCTAACAAATCCCTTACAAAATATAATATGAAAGTGTCACACCAGTAGCCGAGTGGTTAAATCGCTGAATACTGGTAGTTTGACATCGTTTGAACTCAAGCGAACGGGCTGTATTCATGGTCGGTTTTGGTCTTTTTCCCATGTGTAATGTGAATACGAGCTTGTTTCTTTTAGAAAGTCCTCCACGAATGTATCTCACCCCTTAGTCGAATAGCTCTTGTGTGCTTTGCTATATTCAAATCACTTAACCTAAGCAATACGGAAGTACTGATCAATTAAGTTAACTATGGTAGAAGAAACAAGGGTTTCTGTCTTAAGGAAGAGATGGCTTCGTGGGGTCTTTATAAGGGTAAAAGACTTCTTTAATATACTGAGAGACTCCTATGCAGTCCAGAGCTTACAGTCATTACAAACGAACTCGCTCCAGATTACCAGGTTTCCCGGCTTAAGCAACTCTATCATTAATATGCTTGATTTGCAGATGATTCCATCTAAGGAAAGAAATAGCCAGATTTTTCCATATGATATGCTTCTTGTTTTTTATACCTCGAAGGAAATGTATGGTTTTTACCTAGCTTATACAGCCCTACACAACAAAATATAATTCACAGATTCTCAGAGAGCTGAATCAGTCTGCTTTTAATAAATTGAGAGATGTAAAAGCAATGTATTCCCCTTCATGAAGCAAAAGACGCACCTTTCACGCCACATCGCGCATAGACGTTTCATTCTTCAAAGCATAAAAACTAATTTATTCTTAAAATACAAGCGAACTGTCTTTAATACGATAAATGTCTTAAAAGTATTAAATGCACTGAACCTTTCAGATTTTCTTTTTTTTTTTATACTTTAGTTGTTATGAACTAAAAAAGTTATAACTAATATAAGACATTTCTAATGTTATAATTGTAATTGATTAGTGGAATTAAATGGTATATGATTAATTAGTTGGTATAAGATCATTTGTTTCTTAACTTTTATGTTTGTTTCACAATTTTAAAGTTTTAATATTTTTTTAATACCTTGAAATTTTTAATGGTAAACTCTTTAGTTGTTAGACTGCAATCTGAAGATTTCAGTTTCCAGTCTTTTTATTCATTTTATTTTTGATTTTAAACAGTAATCAGAAAGATAGGATAAAAACATACTGTAGGAGGGTGATTATCTGAGTCTGACTGGGAAGTGTATGTCTTAGGAGACAATTAATACAGGATATAATTTTTTAAATGTTTGCTATAAAATATTGTCAGAGTTTTTTAAACAATCACAAATTAAAATAATTTTATTTATTAATAGAACGATACTAAAAATAACTATCCAAACAATCCATAATTTAAGTGTTAACCCTTAACTTCCCACTGTTGCATTTCTGCAACATATGATTTATTTTAATTTAACAGACTCAGTATTTTTTTTAGTTACCTACAAATCACTTACCTAAGAAAAAAAGGTTACTGCAACGAAATACATGCTAAATTTGTCACTAGATAGCAGCACATTTTTTCCAGAAATCGCAACAATTATAAAAATCTCTGATGCCTCAAGAACTGTGTTTTTGCTATAAAAAGAATCCATTATATTTTATGCTTCCTCTTGTTTATTGACGAAAACAATTACCAGGTAAGAAGTTTAAACATTTTATGTTCATTTAAAAGAAATTTTGATTTTCTAATAGAAAAAGTTTGAAAGAAATTTGATTTTAATTATATGTTGCAGGTCTGCAACATTGGTCTTTGGTTACCATTTTGACATGGCCAAAAAGCGTATACTAACCCAAGATGAAATTGCTAGATATATGAATAATTTGGGCGAATTGAGTGATTTAAGTGAGGATAGTCTTGAATATTCTGCTGATGATGTTCATTTTTTACCTGATTGTGTGTCATCTAATGATGATTCGGATAGCGACTGTGAAATAGTGTTGTTTCACAAAATACAATTCAGAATATAAAAACATCCGATGATGATGATAATAAATTTGATAGAAATATTTCAGTCAGTGTGTGTGTGTGTGATTATGGCAAAGCCTCGAGAGCTATCTGCCTACGGGGAGGGATGCCTTCGTGGAGGATTTTCCTAAGGGAAACTGGTTTGTATACAAGTTACACATGGGAAAAACCACGAAAACGAACTACCAGTGTTCAGCGACTTTACCGCTCGGCCGCTGGTATATTTCAGTCAGAGAACCTTTTTTAAATTTAACTGTTAAGAATAATAAAACATTGTCAAAGAATATTTTATGGAAAAATCAAAACATTTCATTGATTGAAGAAGTAATAAAATTCCATGGAGATGACACGCTCCCAAGAGAAATTACGGATTTGGACACTACGTACCAATTTTTTAAATATTTATGGACTTATGGACGGAAGAGATCATAAGTAACATTTATGAAGACAGCAAACGATATGCTATTCAAAAGAATCCAAGTAAGCCTTTGACTATATCAGAGAATGAAATAAATCAATATTTGGGTATTTGCATTTATGCATCTCTAGTTCACCTGCCAAACTATAGAGCATACTGGTCAGAAGAGCTTGGATTTGATCGAATTAAAGAAACAATGAAGAAATCTGAAAATAAAAATAAAAAAAAAAATCTAATGAATTTACAAAAATTCAAATCTGAAGTTGCATCATGCTTATGCAAAATGGGGTACGATCGAAATGCTAAAAGAGGAAGACCTAGTAATACTTCAATAGAACAAATGTCTCAGACTAAAAGATGCAAAGGGACTGCCCAATCCGTTCCATGTAAGGACATTCGTAGAGATGGTATAAATCATTGGCCAATATGGTCAGAAAAGAATACGGTGCAAGTTTCCAAACTGCAAGAGCTACACTCAAACTGAGTGCGAAAAGTGTAAAGTAGGGGACGTTTTACAACAAAGTCAATAACTGCTTTAAAAGTTTTCATTGTATGTAAGGCTAAAGCAATTTATAACAATGAATAATAAAATCCTCATATAAAAAAAAGTTTTGTAATTTTACAGCACTACTGCGCAATGTTGCACTTCTGCAACAAACAAAAAAAAATGACTGAAATTCAATTTAAAACTGCTTAATTTTTTTTTTAAAAAATATTTTTCCTTTTATTATTACTTAAGAAGTAGCTGATATAATTTTTTCATAGAAATTTAAAAATTGGGAAGTTAAGTAAAGGCAACAAAAAAGGTTTCCCTTTTTTTTTTTAAAGGTCTCTAGGTACATTTCAGTTAAATACACTGGAAAGTGCAGAATCGTCACATGTTTGGCCTTTTACGGGGAATTGGATTTTTGTCATTCTTGACTTTTTAAGTGAAAATTGGTCGATGTGTACATGGATAAAGTCAAGGGAGTGTGCAATGACATTTTGTGCAATTCTAGGATTTTTTTTTTATGTGAAAATAGGTCGATGTGTATATGGATAACAAGTATGTACAATTCTTAAAAACGTGCCAAGCAGTGGGAGATTCTGCACTTTTCCCATATCGCTAAAAAATTTTATAGTTACAGGAATTTTATTACATACTTCTGTATGATATTCATATACTTTTCATGGTTTATTCTGAATGCACTAATTTACTGAAGAGAACTTTAGCAGTACAACATTAAGAAATTCTAAAATATGCATATTTTCATATATACTTACGTGATTAATCTGAAAAAATGAGTTTATAAATCGATTAAATATGTTAATAAAGCTTTGATTTTATTAAAAAAATCAGACAAATCACTCATACTTTGTTTCTCCTGTCCTCTGATTTAAGTGAATACTTATTGAAAAAAGTATTGAGAAAATGTCTGCAGTTAGTTTCATTGCTTTTAAAGGAAAAAAAAAAAAAAATGCACCATACAGATCATACAAATGTAAAAATTATTTTCATTTAAAGATGCTCAGCACAAATGTAAATATTATAATTAAATTTGTCCCTGATTATACATTTGCATTTTCATTTCATTCCTTAAATTAATATTATTCTAAACATAACTTATGCTATATTAATTGATTCAAGAATTAAAAGTAACAGGGTATTCACAACAGGACAACAACTAAAGGTAACAGGAAAGGTAGCGTTGTATTTGTATGCATATTAATGGTAATACCATAATACTGTAGTAAAAAATGAAAAAAAATTCAACAAGATGTTCTTAAATTAGATGAGATTACAAATTTTAAATTGCTCAAATCGCATGCACTTACGTGTTTCAAGAGCAAACGCGAAGAAAAGTTAGAAGTTTCCAAATTCGTTTGTAGTTGCCTACAACTTACCATATTCTAAAGATCAGCCGCATATACATATATATACCATTCACTCCGTACTTTAATAATAATATCCAACTTTTATGATATCCATATATTTTTTAAGGAATAAATAATATTCAAAGACAGTGATTATTAAACACGGCAATTATTAAATTTCATCATTAGGATAAATCATGCGTTTCTTCGTGTGTTTTGCTATATTTAAACAACCATGATTTCAGCAAATTTTCTTGGCATTTTAACTTCTCGTCTAACTCGACAGGTAAGACTAGCACCGAATCGAGATAGAAATTTTGAAAGATATGCATTATCGGACGTCGACATATTAAGCCCAAAAGTGGCTAAAACATAAACCATTCGTTTTCATTTTAATACGGATACGGCTATCAAAAATTTTTCAATTGTACCAAAGAATACTCCTACAGAGAGCTGAGTAAACGGATGTAAACAAACCTCGCCGCTGACTTCTCACAGCATATCCGTGACGTACTATTTGATCGTTAGCGCAAGTCCAGTTATGTGGTAAACTTGTCTAACGACCATATGGTTTGCTTTCTGAATTGCTAATAATCTAGACATGTAAATACATGAGTATATTTTAATTTTACTGGAGCGTGTGTTTCATACTTTTGTTTTTGTATCATTGAAAAGTTCAGAAGGTAAGTCATAAAAATATGCAAGGTGTTCTTTCTTTTTGGGAAAATGTGATAACTTTTTGTTTAAATAAAAGATAACTCATGGTAAAATATTAAGCCGTATCTGACAGTATTTGATAATTAATGTAATATATCTGGCATATGAAAATTAAAATACCTTATTAATGTAATCACAATTTTAACAAACTATATATGGAGTGTGTATCCTAGTTTGTAAAATAGCATGCTATTTAATGCGTATTATTTTTGAATATCTTTTGTTAATATAATCTATTTACATGTATATCTGTGCTTAATTGTAGCTATCAAAATGGAAGATATTTTAGCAAAAATTATGAAGGATGCTTCTACAACAAAACATCCTTATGTTAAACAGTCATGTTTAGAATCACAAGGTATGTATGAATGCTGTTAAAAATAAAATGGTTTAAAAACTATATTCTATCCGTCTTTTCAAATAATGCCTAAAAATTTTGACTTTTCCTTTCAATTAAAATGATGTGAAGATAAAAATAAAAGTAATGAGAAATATTTTCATCTTAAAAATTACTTTCTTATTGCTCATGAAAGTGCTTTGATCAATTAAAATATGAACATTTTTGGGAATAAATGTGTAATAACCATAGTATTTGTAATTTATTTAATATATTTATACGGTATTAACTTCATTTTATGTATTGTATATTTGAGGTTGAAAAACTTTTCCATTTAGAAATATAATTAAAATTCTCCTCAAAAGTGAATTTATTTGCATAAATTGATTTATATTTCTTCTTGTAGAATTGTTAGCAAATCAGCATAGTTTGATGCGGTCTCCACCATATGAAGTAAGGTAAGACGTTATTTACGGTTTCAGACTACTGTTATGCTTATTCGTACATTTATGCACTGATATGAAACTGCACTCTTAATATTCAGAAATTAATATATAGATGTCTCTCATGCAATGGAAGAACTGTAATTTACATATGATGATCTGAAAACATTTTTATTTTATTATATGAATATTGTACTTCTTTGGAGTAATATAAAAGTATTATAATAATTTGTATCTGATATTAAAGTTATAAAAATTGCTTAGACATTTCAGACCACAAAACAAGAGAAATCAACTATGCCCCCACCAGAATTTGAACAATAGATTGCCCAGTTGGTGGCCCAGTTAACTGGGTGCTCACATTAACTGTACTGCGTACATTATGACAGCAAACATAGGGAAACATGATAATTCCGTATATTTTGTGCGATATAAAAGGCAAGTGGATGAACATGAGACTCACTTAACCAAAGTGGTGATGAGTTATTGCCCATTGCATTTTAGTTTAGATATCACTGTAGAGATCATTTAGTCCAACAATTTCCCAACCCTTTTCTTGCATTTACTTTCAAAAGAATCATTTTTTCCCTCAACCCCTTTATTATCTTTTCCATAATATACAGCATACAACATAATCATTATACAGATTTCACATAAATTTTTTAAAATTTTAAGATAAAAATTAAACTCAGAATATGAACAGAAAGTTTGAAAAAAAATGGATAATTTGTGTATTATTATTTTTAATTTTCCAAACATAAGTAAGTTATCAAAAACAAAATCGCAGACTGATTGATTGCACAAAAGTCTGATTATAATTAACAATGTAGCTGTGTTTGATGCATTGATTCATTTTTTTAAACCATTTGGTATAAAATTGCTTAACTTAATCCTTTAATCATCTTGGTCAAAAATATTCAACTTGTTTCTTGTTTTTTGCTGTAAATTATTGGCTTGACTAAAGCTTGCTTTCATTAGGTAAGAAAAGGGAAAACTATGTGGTTTGAATGACTTGAATTTGTACGGTTGTTATATATCAATAATTGTCAATGTTGTTGATACATGTTTACTAGTTTACTGGTACATATTTGGCTGTTGACCCCTTGATTATTATTGACCTCCCAGAGGTCAATACTAACCTCACTGAATACCTCTGATTTAGGCATTCTGAAAAAAGAAACATGAAAAATATGCCATCAACCAGGCTTTAAATCATGGCTCTTTAAGAGGCTAGCTAAATGTGCTTGCCACGTGTGTCACATGTGCATGAGGAGATGCAGGAATTCCATATAAGGCTTAAAAACAAAAATAACAACCAAAATTGTGATTTTTTTAACCATTAATAATTAATGAAATTTTTAATTTGTTTAGTAATATATTTTTGTTACAGTAATTAATGATTATGTATAAGCAACAAATTATCAAAAAGGAATAAAAATGTATGTACAGAAAACTATTGAAAACAATGAATTAGATATTTGACTTTGTTTTATAAAATTATAAGTATCATATCTTTCTAATTTTGTTTCTTCAGATGCTTAAAAGAAATTTTTTTAGTAATAAATTTTGTTTTGTCAAGTTCTTTGAATATCAAATGTTTTTATTAGTCTATCAAAATACTGCATTTTGTATTCTGAAAATATTCAATATGAATGATTATTCAATAATTCTGAATACTTTCTTCCTGTCAGTAATTAACTGTTTTGAGGATAGGTTATCTTGTTACTAGCACACTTTGCCTCAGTATTACTTATTTGCCTCAGTATTTTAAAAATATTATATATATATGAGCAAAATATATATGTCAGCATTTGCTGCACTAGCGCAGATTGTTCATTCACTGCTTCTGAAAAATCTAAATATAAAGGATGGATACTTTACTGTGATACTACTGAATTTTCGTAGGCATTTAATTTTAAGTTCTGTCATCATTCCTAATCTTTTTTAAGCTACTTTTTCAAAACTGCCATGTCCTGGTAAGAAGACAATATATTCTTTATGAATCAAACATTTATCATCTCTTATTCATCAGCTTAAATAAATTATGCTTGTAAAAGGCACCTTTTTAACACCTAAGGCAAACTTCAGAATGCCGTCTAAATAATCTTGGTTAATCTTTGGAATACATTTTAGTAAGGCGATAAAGGTTACTAGCTAGGACTTTAGCAGTGTACATGGATAGAGTGTGCGCAATGCCATTTTTGTACAATTCTGGGATGTTTTTTTAAGTGAAAATAGGTCGACGTGTACCTGGATGATACCATGTATGTGCATTTCGTAAAAATGCGGCAAGCAGTGGGCGATTCTGCACTTTGTCCCAATTTCGCACCTAATCTTCGTCATGATTAAGCACTTTTGTTCCATAAAAGTTCTAGCATAAGCGTAATTCGGCTAGCAGATTGTTGGAAATGTTGAGGGGAGGGGGGAATGCCTTTACTTCGTGAAAACAAAATGGCGTCCAATCAAAAACTAGCAAGTTGCTGTAGCAGGGTGGGTCGCCACATTTTCGCCAAAAAATCGCCAAGTTACCATAATCCAAAGATTAAACAATATCTTTTATAGCAATTTTTACTTAAATATTATATTTTAATTTTGTACTTGATCTAATTTTTTAGGCAAATTAATACCAAATTAAAGTATTTTAATCAAAAAGCTGGAAGAAAAATTTAAGGGGAAAAAAAGATAAAAAAGCTAAGAAATGGAGAGCAGTCAAAGCACGCAGAAAAAAATTAAGTTAAATGGAAATGAATGTGATTATACATATAATTGCAATAGCAATATAGGCAATTATGGACAAGATGTAACATACCTTAGCGAAACCAAAGTGTGGTTATCATGGCTTTTCATATGCATTAATTATATCGACCTTTTTCTTTTAATGTGATTATCTTTTTCTTAGATGTAAATTTTTAATACATTTTGTTATTTAATAGGCAAAAATCCATTAGAGAATTAGATAATATTTGTAATGAATGTAACAAAAATGTAATGAAGTCATTCTTTTTTTTTTTTTTTTTGTCCGATTCATAGTTGAAATAAAGAAGTGAAAATATCATAAAGATCCTTTTAAACTTTATATGTTTGAAACACCTAGTATTTTAAAAAAATAATTTGATTTATAATAATTCAATTCGGCTCCATTCCCTTTCCCCAAAAAGTTGAAAAATCTGAAAGTCCAATGCTAAAAAATTCAAGAAAAGATACCATTTAAAAAATACTATTTAATTCATTATATGCATCTCTCTAGATCTGTAGATAGGATCTCTCTAGATTTGTAGATTTGAGAAGGGAACATAAAGGAATTCAGGTTTGGGCATTGTCTTTTATTTTGTTGCTGTTGCTTGAACACGTTTTGAAAACTGAATGTTTTTGATATAAAGTAGCAACAGAATAAAAATAAAGCTCAAGCTGACATAGCAAATCTTCTTAGATAATGACTGGGAAAAAAGAGAAAGAGTTATGAAGACAAGTAAAAGAAATATTTTAGAGCTTTGAAAAAATGATTTGATAAGTGAAGTGGCATGTTAATCATGAGAAGGCTTAAAGCGATTTGCTTATTACACTTAATATGTTTATTCATGTGTATACTTTAGGAACCTAATGAAGGATGCTGAGTAATTATTATAAATGGGGTATTGTGTTCATATATAGTCTTTAAATTGTCAGTATTTTCTATATTTCAACTATAATAAAGTTTAATAAATCTTTTGTTTTATATATATTATGTGGAGAAGAGTTTAACGCTTTGAAGATTTTAACGCCCCAGATGGTCTTTCATTCAAACGGCAGAAATTCCAATGTTGTTTTCTTCCCTCCCTTAAGATACAGTAGCAGGTGCAGTTTCCCCAAATGCATTGTATCAGTTTATTGCAGACCTAAAAGGATTTATTTGTAGTTTCTTATCTTTATTTGTTAGGAAATAGACAGGATGACATTTTAAATCTTCACTCTTCGTGCGTTAATGGAGGGGATTGGACGAAATTACTGTGACTTTCGAAAACTTTTTCAGGCAGTTCGGTATTTTATGCGTACACGTTAGCAAAAACTTCGGTTTTCAAAGAGTTAAAGTAAACGACATTTTCACTTTAGAACGCATTTCATATTTTTTTCAGATACATCTTGACATATGTTAACATAGTGTTTATAAAATAATGATAACATTTTAATTTTCTGAATTTTTCTAAAGTTGTTTTAATGTGCATATTATAGTGATAATATGATTTGGGATATAGTTCAAATTTTGCTGAATTTATATATTCTTATTTCAATGTTATTGATGCTTGAATATATATCAGGTGAAATAAAAAATCACATGAAATTGTTTTGAATCTAATTCCATGAGAATTTCTTTTTCATATCTTTTATATATATTGTTCCATATCTATTGCTCAGATTTTTTTTTAAATTTTTATTTGTAGATCTAAATGCTTAGACACCCTTCGCCTGGCTTTGGAATCAAAACATTCAAAACTCATGAATCATGCATTAAATGGCTTCCAGGTTGTGTATACTTAATATATAATATATATATATTTTAAAAAGCAGTTTTCTATACACATTTGGTACTTACATACTTTTTTAGAAGTCATTTTTAACACAGTAAAACTATCTTCATGCAGTGTGATTTTGCACAGTAATGGAAAAGCATGACATCACAGTACTCCTATTAGGTATTTTCTTTAATTAATGCTCAATAATCCAATTTTATTTTTGCAAAGAAGGATGTAAATAACTTGTTATTTTTCTGTTTTCCCTTTGCATATTGGGAAAAAAAAAAAAAAAAAAAAAAGAAAAAAAAAAAAAAGAAAAAAAAAAAAAAAAAAAAAAAAAAAAAAAAGAAAAAAGAAAAGTTGGGGATATATATATATATATATTTGAAGACGAATAAACAGTGTTATGCAGTGTAAAAAAATATAACAATCAAATATCTATTTGGCAATGTGGTTTACACCAGAGAATATAACTTGTATGTGTTGATTATCTAGCTAAGTAAAGAATGATTTGCTTTGTCAAACTTTCACCAGAATGATTGGTGCAAGTTTGGTGGGATCTCTAACTTTGATGGCAACTTTCTTGATTAAGGAGAAAGTATGTAAGTATCGCATATTACAATACAATACAAAAAAAAAAAAAAAAAGCATTTATACAGTTAAAATAAATAATTTTTCATTCTAATTTTTAACATTGGTTTACAAAATTCTTTTAACAAGTTTCTTTCTTTCTTTCTTTTTTTTTTTTTTTTTTTTTTTTTTTTAATATAGCGAATGATATGGGATAAAAGTTTTCAGTCAGTATTTGAGAGTGATAATGAAGAAAACTGGCTTCCTATACAGCTAATGAGATCAGTAGCATCACTTCATACGCATTCTGATGATATTCAAATGGAGATATTAAAAGTAATTAATTTGTTCAGAAAGTATTTTAAAACCATATCATTAAATGCTCTTTTTCATTTTATGGAATTTTGAAACAAACAATGTAATTGTTCTATACCATGAGAAAGAAAATGTTTCTTATTATTTGTACTTGAAGGGGATGTTCAATAATTTTTTCTTTTCAGATATTGCTAGAGAACTAATTTTTTAAAGAATTTTTTACTATAAATAATGGTATTTTACACTGAGTTGGAAAATTTGGAAACTGCATTGCTGTGTTATAGGAGGTTTTATGTCATTTCAGTTCTTGAGCTATTTTAATAATTATAATGGTACTTTCATGTAATATTTATTATCCAATGTTTCAATAAATTTCTTTGCACATACAGGTAATAATTTGGAAGATAAGTAGTTTCTAAAATAGTTTAAAATGAATTAAATAAATAATGAGAAAAACAGATTATATTTTTATGTTCCTGAAGATTAATGATTATGTATGAAAACAGTCATAAATTAAAAAAGGAAATATTGGAAATTGTGTGAACTGGTATTCTACTTTTATATCTTTGTCTGTTAGAAGTGACAGAAAAACCTTACTCTGAACTGCCAGCATCCTGATAGAAGCAGGAGTCTTTCAGTTTGCTGTCATATGTCCTGGTCTCTTAGTAAATCTCCAAGTTTCTCGGTTTTTAGTTTATTTATATTTAAATTCTCAACTGAAAATATTGCTTTTGAGTTCTTAAGTGTCTGAGAGAAAAGAAAAGCCATGAAAGACATTTTAAGAAAATTTTTTTTAAAGAAAGTAAAGTAGGATTTTATCTTCTCTTAATGAAGCTTAAATTGTACTATTTGCATTTTTCCCTAAATGATTTTTTTTAATAATAGTTTTTAATTAATTTGAATTGGTTCAATCTATTATAGGAGACTGAAGAGCATATTTGAACAACTTAACTGACATTTAATAAAATTTTTAAAAAAATGCTATTTTAAATCTGTAGTGTAACTAAATTTATCCTCTTGGTTGTATGCACATTAATCATTAATCTCACTTTCATCATGTTTAAAAGCACTATAGCACTATGCCATATTTTTTTAAATAATAGTTTTTAATTAATTTGAATTGGTTCAATCTATTATAGGAGACTGAAGAGCATATTTGAACAACTTAACTGACATTTAATAAAATTTAAAAAAAAAAAATGCTATTTTAAATCTGTAGTGTAACTAAATTTATCCTCTTGATTGTATGCACATTAATCGTTAATCTCACTTTCATCATGTTTAAAAGCACTATAGTAAATAAAAGCATTTTTTTTTTTATTAATTATATATTATTATTATTTTCAGCATTATAAAATTTTGAGAAAATTATGGATCAAATTAGCCCAAAATATATCTTGCAGTAGTATTAAAATTTATGATAAAGAATTAAGTATTAAATTAATATATTTAAAATCAACATATTATAACTGGTTATCTGAGTTACGCATCATGAAGTGACTGATTTGCTAGTTTAGGATCATTTTAAATTTATGCTGCCACACAGCATGAAAACCCCCTGTTTTAATCTTTCAGAGTTAGAAACTATCATTTAATTTTACTGTCAGTTCCAAAATTTAATGAATTAATAAATGATATTATTACATGTTATTTAATGCAAATTTTGTCATTGAATGTTTCAACACGATTTTGTCAAATTTTATGATTTTTCACTGCAATTGCACTTTCTTTCTAAAACTGTCATGCCATATTTAATGCTGGTTATTTAAAAATTTACCTAAGATGAACCATTTTGAAATAGTAATTGGTGTAGAATGTGCTTCATATAGTTTCAATGTTGCGTTCTTGAGCTGTGATTTAAGAAAGCAAACTTATTCCTTGAAGTATCTGTTTAATTACCTTTTTTAACTCACTAACCCTCCTTAGATTTCAGTTCTTTGTAGATTTCTTATTGTTGTTTAGAAGCCTTTTTACATACATGAAACTTTTAAATACCTCAAATACTTCATGGCTTATAAAGTGTTGGTATTGACATTTCTACTTGTACTGTCTGTGTATTATTAAAATCTTTAAAGTAACCAATTCTACATTGGAAATTTTTTAAATGAAAGCAATAGGAGCACACATATTCTTCTGAAGAAATATACTTTAATTTTATTCTTACTTTGAATGAAAAGTGTAAATGATTTACATGTCTTTAAAGTTAAACAAAACTCAACTGTTGCATTGATTGTTAAAGAAAAGCTCTATGCCTGGGGTGGCCAAGCACCTTGATAGTCCGAGCCGTTTTTCAAAATTTGAAATTTTTCGCAAGCCACAATTAAATACGTATTTAAAAGGTATACAAAAAAGGTATTACAAAAATTTTACAGAAAATGTATTTATTTAAAACATATAAATAAAAATACAAAATATGTGTATTGAATTTAAATTCAAAAAATTAAACACATTTATTTTACTTCTCTTGATAATTCTTTAAAATTTGGTGAATAATTGATGACAGCACTTCTCAGTAATTCTTTGAGATGCTGGTTAGTTAATACTGATTGGTGTTTGGATTTCACGAATTTTAAAGTGGAATAAAATGATTCATGTAAGTACGTTGTTCCGAATATTGAAATAATTCGACAAGCAGCCTTATTTAATTCAGGATACTTCGATTATGGTACAAATTTCCAAAATTCAGTAATCGGCATCGATTTATATTTTAATTGTAGAGCTTTATCTTCTTGCATCTCTATTAATTCTAATTCTCCAGATGCTTTTTGGGTCAAACCTGTATTGGAAATGGAAAACTCACCTTGAATTATGTTAATTTCAAATGGATTATAAAAAATCAAGAGACGATGGACGGAAATGAAATTTCTTACAACGTTGCACTTAGTCTTTCATATTTGTTGTCTGTAATTTAAAAGACATTTTGAAACACATACGGAATGATAATAAATTTTTTAAAATATAATAACACAAAAATGAAAAGGGAACTGGGATACATTTATCGAAAGCCACAAATAATCCTTCAAAGAGCCGCAGGTTGGCCACCCCTGTTCACATGCACATATGCAGCATGATTTGATGTGAGTTTCTGTTCTTCAAGGTACCAAAATAGTTTGTCCCATTTTCTGGAAATGGCATTATTTATTTACCACATCAGTGATCTCTTATACTTTTTTGACTCGCATAACCCATAAAGCTATCATTTTCTCTATATAGCTTTATCACCCTCAGGAAAATAGATATTAAAAGAAACATTGAAGCTTGACCATTGTTGCATACATTTTGTGGAAAATGAAAAGAAAATCATTATAACATCGAGTAGCATTTCTTTTGTAATTCAAATAATAATAGAAACTGTGAAAAATATTAATTAACTAAATATTATTCCAAATGATATTAAAATTTTAATTTTTTGCTTAGTTTGAATTTTAATTTTGTCTTGTGGAACTCCAGGGCTATACAGAACACTATTTTGAAGACCACTGATTTAGATGGCGGAAAAGAAAGGTATACATGCAGTGTTCCTTAACGGGCACTGAATTTTTCATTAAAATCAGGTGGTCTGGGGTCAAATCACAGACCACCTGTGATTTGATAGGTGTGAATCACATAATCAATTAAAATCAGGTGGCCTGTGATCATCAGATCTGTGGTTGAATTTTGTGTTAGTTTAAATTCAAAATCTTGTGTTTTTCCTCTTCTGTATGTTTATATGTATGGCTGTGTTTCTGGAGTCTTAACATTTTTCTGTTATGTGATAAATGCAGAGTACTTCTTTGAACAAAGTTCATTTTTAATGTTTTGAAAAACTATTTTCTTAAATATTGTTGCAGCAATGAAATTTTTAAATTATTATTATGTATTAAAATGATGTACATTTTCTTTTTTTTAGATATTACTAAATATGACTAGCACTCATGGACAGAATTTAACATCTCATTCAATAATCATGTTAATAACTTTATGCTTGGAAGCATACGGCACTAACACAGCTGGTGTACGAACAGCTGCCCAGGCAACCATAAATCAAACTTTGACATCATTTTGCATTATGTTACAAGAGACAGATGGAAGCATTGAGGTATTATTATTTACTCTTTCCTGTGAGAGTTTCTTTTCATGCGTAATGTCTAAAAATGATAGAACCATTCTGATATTGGAGTTTGTATTGAATCAAAAATTGTAATGACATCAAATAATTTCTAGGAAAGTTTCACGGCAGTTCATGTAAAAATCTGAACTAAATTAAGGTCTAGATGTTTTACATTATTGCTGTGAGAATCATTAAGGTCGTTACAATGAATTTGGTTTCTGCAAGTTAATCATTACGTATCGTTCAGTTCAAATACATATTCATTCATTACTTCTTATCTGAAATTTTATTACTTTTTACAGAAAACATATGAAGCCTTAACATGAAAATTGTTAAAATGTTTAAATTGACATCTGTAGTTGCATTGCTGTGCACAGTTTTCTAATTTTAGGTTCAAATGTTGATAATTGCCAGCGAATGCCTTGTTCTGCATTGATGCAGATTCTCTGAATAATTTATTGGTACCTGTATAAGTGATAAATCATGTGTTATAGGCATGTATAGTCAAGAAAGTAAGCAGTACTGATTTTGCTTTCTCAGATAAAATTTTGAATTCATCTTGCATGCAGCTCAAACTCTGTTATGCTTTGGTTTTGAACTTGATTTTTAGTTCATTGCTAAATCTGTAAAGATATCATGTTCTATTGAGTTTAAGCCAAATAGTTTTTTGTTCATGCTGAACACGTTTAGACCCATTCAGAGTCATTCAAGCGCCTTCTGTTGAGTTGTGAGAAAATAAAATTCTGATGAGTTTTCAAAGCTTCAAGGTGCATTTGAGTATTTTTTAAAAATTATTATTAATTATTTTTCATTGAATCTGAATGTTATTTTCTCCCAAGAATGTTTTTGTAAGAGAACTGCAATTGTTAGCTTTGTCAATACATAAGTGTCTCTCGTAAGAAGAAACTTTAGTTAGCATCAGAAACCGACTTATTTTATTCGGATTTTTTTCTAGCAATCATAGATTCATTATGTTCATTGCTATGAATTTCAACCAATACGCTATTTTACACACTCAATTTTTATTGTTTTAAAGCTTTACCATAGAGCGTTATGACATATTAAAAATGCTACTACTTTGCATGCAGTTTCTCAAATATTTGAATACTTTTCCTCAAGACGACCACTTTACTTCAGTGTGCAGTAAGAGAGACTCATAGTGGCTTCTTATGACTGCTTTTATGTTTAATAAATCTGCCAAGTCTGCTTTTAAGAGGTCAGGAGTTTATACAGTCTATTATTTTTTATATTAATTTTCTCGCAAAGAAAATCACCCAGAAAGAAATTATGGAAAAATCACTAAGAAACACTAGTATTATCTATATGAACATTCACAGTGAATTGACTCCAAATTGACATCTTGGCCACTGACATTACATTCATTTTCTGTTTGTATTTATATGGGGCTAAGTCTCAAGAAGCTTCGAGCAGATTTGAGGAATTCTTGAAAGGTGATAAGGAGAGAGAAACTTCTTGAATGTGCAGTTCCAAGGAATGGCCAAACATCATCTATTAAAGGAGATGCAAAATTGAATTTTGTGAATTTCCAAGTTTAGAATGCAATTTCTAAATATCTTTTTTCGAATTTACTTTTTGTCTGTTGTTCTTTAATTTCATTCAGTTTTTATTTATTTTAATTTCTTGGAGCAGCTGAAGAGTCCTTAGGCCTTCGTGTGCCCTAAGAACTCCCTAACTTACTCGGCCTTAAAGTCCTTAAATTTACAGTAGTTCCCAAACTGTGCTTTAGGACAGTTGTCTGTTCCAAACTGTGCCTTAGCACAGTTTGTCAACTGCTGATCTAAGGTGATGCTTAAGTCTGCATTCTGTTATTTTCCATGAATTTCAATGTATCTCATTATTGGTTCATTGATAAATTAATGGAAAATACTGATTAATTTCATTTTGGTATTTTTCTGTTAATTGGGTGACGGATGTGCATGGATTGTGATAGCCTATTTATATCGCATCCTGAATATCTATGCATTGAATAGATATCTGTGCAGTATTTAATATGCACAGTGCCAAATTTATACAAATATGTGATATTTTTAAGCAGAAATAAATTGTTGTGTACATAAGTAGAACATTGAGCAATTCTTTGGTGTTTTTAATTGGGGGGGGGAGATCACTGTGTACGTAGGGAGAATGTGGTGCAATTCTATGATTTAAGGCCTGAAAGAATTGCAGACATTAAATATTATATGTATTTTATTAAATGATGCACTAGTGTTATTACAAGTATATCTTTTTCATGAAGCTTTTTAGATATCTTAGGTTAGCTGCCACCTATTTTGATTTCATGCATACATTTATATTTGATACCAAGTGTTAACCCATTAACAGAAAACTACTCTTTTTTTTTTCTTCAACTGTGTGATATAAGATGTAGAACTAGTTTTTCGTTGAAAACTAGTGTTTTCTCATGTTGTTTTCATCATGTTGTATCAACATGAGATGGCTGTCTTCTATCAGAATAAGTTAAGTTTCAAGTAACACAGGCTCACAGGATCTAAATCACTAATTTCATAGGTAGGAATCTGAATTTCTTCCACCATGTAATTTGCAACACCACGTTTATTGTCCATTGAATCATCTGATGGAATTTCTTGTAAGTCTGCTAAGCTGCTTTAGGACTAAACCAATTTTTTCTAATAGAAATTTGATTGCTTTCTACATAAATATAAAAATTTTTAGTGTTAGCTTTAGTAAAGATTCTTATAATATAAATAAAATACAACACACGTACAAAAATTAGAAAATTTATGAAGCATCTGGCAGAAATAGGAAAATAGTTTTTGAGCACTTATTAGAAAACTATTGATAATTTTCAGACATAAATTATGAAATTAAAAATTCTTTGCAGCATTATAATATGGACACTGGGTTAAGAAATTATCATTCATACTCAAAATGGTAGCTGTTTGCCAAAAACTTCGATAATTTTTTAAAAACTGGAAATGGTTAAAAATGAATGCTGTTTTCTTCTATTGTTAATTTAAATAAATTGTTTCATTTACAAATAACACTAATAAATGCATGTATTTTTGTTTAACTATCTTTTGTTATAATTCTGTTAAATATGCATGATAATCATATAAAAAAAAAACAATTGCATTTTGAATTTTTTTACATGTGAGCATTCTTTCTAGGATCAAGTTGATGATTCTGATGGAGAAAATGGTAAACATTTGTTTAGTCTAGTTTATAAAATGATTTAAAATTAGTTAACATTAAATTTGATATTCACATTTAATTGCAGTATAGTTGCTGTTTTACATGTTGTTCCCTTTTAAAGCTCTGGCCCATCAGCAGTCGAGCGGTAAAGTCACTGAATATTGGTAGTTTGGTCCGGGGTTCAAATCCTAGTGAACAGATTGGCTTTGTCGGCATTTTTGTTATTTTCCTCATGTGTAATGTGTATACGAGGCAGCTTCCCTTAGAAAGGCATCCCTTCCCTTAGGCAAATAGTCCTTGTGTGCTTTCCCTTAATCAAGTAAGCCAAGCTGAATCAAACCCTTTTTAAGTTCATTCCCATTCAATGAAAACAGATTCCATTAAACATTATGTAAAGCCATAATTCAAGTAGTGTTAATATTTGCAGAGGCTAATTTTATGTAATTGTTCATTTTATTACAGTACTGTAGAACTTTTATTTTTTAAAATTATAAATAATATGTTTAAAATGTTAGAAATTTCAGTAGTTAATATATCTAGAAATAGTATCATAATCTATCACAGCAAGCAAAATTTCGTGCCCTACATAGCCAAATAGCAATATGAATGCAGTAGTGATGTTATTAGATTCTGAATACCAAAAAAGTTCACTAATTTTCAAATCACAGCTAGAAAAACTAATACAAAAAAGAAAATAGTAAGGTAAAAATTAGCAAGCACTTTTTAAAAATAAATAAATAAAACTCATTTATTTTCTGCAAAAACATTTGCCAAGCTACCAAGAACCTGCCAGTACATTACTATAGTAAATCATATACACTTATTATAACAATCATCAGAAATAGTACCATAATGTAAGTAAAGATATTTTTAGAAGTCAGCATTTGTATCTGTATATAAAAAAAGCCAGCTTTTACTTGAATTCTCTGTTGCTGGGCCTTTTTCAAAATTTTTAGAATTTTCCCTCCCCTAATTTATTAAAAATTATGAATATTTATGCATTTCCTTTGTAATTAAATTTCTTTTGTGGTTAAAGAAATGTGCAATTTCTTGTTATTTTTTGTGATATTTACCTGGTTAACCTGTTCAGTAAAAGCTACGAGGGTAAGTTGAAAAATAAGTTTCCTCTGTTAACTGTGGTCAGAGTTGTGTATGAAAGTCAAAAAATAGAATGAGACATTAAAGAAATGACATACCTTTATTTTATTATTCTCGTACGAGTACGCTGAGACATTTGTCATATCGCTTGATAAGCTTCAAAAAGTCCTCCAAGAAAAATTCACGCTTTGCATATGGAAGAAGCGTTGATCGGCTGTGGGCGAAAGGCGACACAGCAGGAAAACGCGCAAGTCACCGATACACCATTGGGTAGAGGTCGCTGCAAATGAAGCAGATGGCGCTGTTGCAGTGCCTGTGCAAAGCGGAGACCAGCCTCTCATTTGAGCCCCGGTAGGTATGGAGTGAAGGTGCGTTTTGAATTCGTGGTCAAAGGAGGAAGTGAGAGCGGTTATCCGCTATGAATGGGCACGTGGAGTATCAGGAACAGAAATTCATAACCGCCTCGTGGAAGTCTATGGGCCAGGTGTGATGTCGAAGCAAATGGTGCGGAGATGGTGTCGCACATTCAGTGATGGACGTCAGCAAGTGGAGGACATACCGAGAGCTGGACGGACGCGCACGGCCACTACAGATGCAAATGTCAGGAAGGTGGATGACATGATTAGAGCGAACCGGCGTATCACCATCGATGAAGTAGCGGAAGAACTTGGAATCTCACATGAGCGAGCTCAAAACATCATCCACGACATTCTTCGATACAGAAAAGTGTCAGCACGATGGGTGCCCCGACAATTGACCTCGACACACAAGGAACAACGCATGGGGGTCAGCCTGGAACATCTCGTGCGTTACCATGAAGATGGCAATGACTTTCTGTTTCGATTGTGACGGGGGATGAAACGTGGGTCCACCATTTCACGCCAGAATCGAAGGCCGCATCTATGGAGTGGAAACATCCGTCATCACCTGTCCGAAAGAAGTTCAAGACAACTCCCTCTGCAGGTAAAGTGCTCCTCACAGTTTTCTGGGACGCCCAAGGAGTTTTGTTGCTGGACTTTTTGGAGGTTGGAACCATCAATGCTACGCGCTACTGTGACACCCTGTCGAAATTGAAAGAGGCGATTCGGAAAAAGCGGCCTGTCCTTTTCACATCTGGCGTTCTGCTGTTGGATGACAATGCCAGACCACATTCGGCGACGGCAACGCAAAACCATATTGCAACTCTTGGTTGGGAGCGCCTACACCATCCGCCATACAGTCCTGATCTCGCACCAAGCAACATCCATCTGTTTCCGGCTTTGAAGAAAAATCTCGGGAGAAATACTGAAGTGAAACAAGCCGTTCAACGCTTCTTCCATATGCAAAGCCCTGATTTTTTTCTGGAGGGCTTTTTGAAGCTTATCAAGCGATATGACAAATGTCTCAATGTACTTGGTACCTATGTGAAAAAATAAAGGTATGTCATATCTTTAATGTCTCATTCTATTTTTTGACTTTCATATGCAACTCTGACCGCAGTCGACAGGGGAAACTTATTTTTCAACTTACCCTCGTACATATGTAACTGTTAAACCTGGTCTAAGAGGATTTTAAAATAAAATTGTACTTTTTAATAAGCACTTTATATAAACAGTTATTCATAAAAATGATTAATAATTCAAGTTTAAGCCTACTATTTTTATTAAAAATGATAAAGGCACTAACATGCTTATGATATTCTTGAAATAAGCTAAGTGGAGAAAAAGCATTAATGTGAAGGTTCTGGGGCCCATATCATACTAGCTGAACATTAATTACCGTTCTAGTATAGGTATTTTATTTTTATTTGCATAATATTAAGACGAAAAAATAATTTTTAAAATTTTTATTTTGTCGTTTAAAAATAGGATTTAACTTGCTTGAAAGTGTTACAGAAGAGTTATATCCAGTATTGCATTTTACTTGTGAAAAATTGAAAGATATAAATTGGTAAGTCTCTCTCTTTGTTTCTTGGCTTATTTTGTGATAAATCTGAATAAAAAGTAACATACATTACAACTTTCTTTATTTTACAGCACCAGAGGGAAAATTGGTGCTGCTTTGTTATTGCAGTGCATCTTGTCAGTGCTAAAAAATATCAGAATTGATATTTATCATAGCTCAGATTTTGTTAATTTTTTATGGTATGTATTGGCTTTTATAATTTTTGTTCATTTTATTTTCAGAAGTGTCTTATCTTTTGGTAGTTTTCATAGTCCTTGTGAAGGTTACAAAATATATTGTGAAATATTTTCCTCTTAAAAATAATCAGATATCTTTCAGACTACATTTTAAAATGATTAACAATAAATTACAGGAGTTCAGGGGTAATTTAATTGGCATATTTATAGATATATGTATATAAACACCGTCATTCAAGCATTCTTCAGAAAGCAAAATTCCAGACATCCGTAGAATGGTGTGGAGGCTTGCCACATCTCTTTCTGAAGAACTGAACTCATCGTATGTTACTAAGCACGTACTTATAGAACATAATTTGTATTTTTTCAGCTTAGTCATTTTTGTTCATCTATCTTGAGAATAACCAACTTTTATTTCTTTCCTTCTTTATCTAATTGCTTTTTCACTTACCTTTTCTATTCCACAAGTTTTGATATTTATGACAATCTGAGAAGGTATGAAAATAATTGAGAACACTAAGAATTGTCTAAAATTATAAATTTTTTTGAGAATTGGATTTCTGTAAGAATGTGTTGACGGTATGAGACAATCATGGAAGGTATTTGTTTATTAGCATACTTTTCCATAACCATTTCTGTGTATACAGTATGACTGACTGTGTTTTGAAACATTTTATCATTATGATATTAAGAATTTTATTATTTTCCAATACTGGGATTTGGCTTTCGTTCATTTTTCTGAAATGTTGTAATTTCTTTATTTTAAGAACTTATTGAAATTCACTACATTTTCTTTCTTTGTTTAATTAACTAATCTTCTTTCATCCTACTTTATGTAAAACTCAAATAAAGTATGAAATTTTATTTAATCTTTAATTTTGTATATTTTAAAATAATGTTGCAAAAAATCCCAGACATTTTGAATTTAAAACCAACTTTTTAAAATAAACTGGAAATGTTAAAAAGAATTAATTTTTTTTAAGTTGATAAAATCATTTCTGACAAGGTAATTTGTGATTGATGTTCAAGGATTTCTTTTTATTACTGAATATGTTGAGTGATGTGTAATATGCTCGCAAAATTTCTGTTTGGCCTACATTGACCATGATCTCTAATATAGAAAGTTTGTGTAGCATGTCAGTCATCTATGAAATATGGGAAGAATTACTTTGCAGTTTCATAAAGTAGAATGTGGATGGAATCACTATACAGTTTCAAAATATTTTGTAGCAGTTGAAATTTTATTGTTGCTGCTTAACATGTTAGTACTTGTTAGTTTTTGTTGTTTGACTTCTGAATTAGTGTCTTAATGTTAGTACTTTCTTAGGGAAATTTCTAGCAGTTTTAAATCTGTGAGCATTATCATTTAGATATCATTTTTATGATTCCAAGCATGAGCATTATAAATGGAAAAATAAGGTATTTCAGGGTAATAAATTTTAGCATTATGATTTTTTCTACAGGTTTTATAAATAGCTTTTAGAATTTCAGCATTGTTCTGCAATTTGAATTCATTATTTCTTGTTTGAATTCCTGATATCAACATATAATATTTTGTATGACAATGGCATTGTTACACTTTAAATTATGATGCATCCACAGTTTTGTGATGAAATGCTTAGTGTATAATCTTTCGACTTTAAAACCTAAATGAAGCTACGTTAATTATTTTTGCAGAAAATCTTAATATGATATGAAAATCTTTTTGTCAGTCATTTGTGTTAAAATTTTAAAATATCTGTATAACGCAAATGCTTGCTCAATTTTGAGAGAAAAGTGCTCAACTAGTTATAAAAGTGTAATTCATATTAAGCATATACAACATACTGTTGGTCAAAATAACCATTATGTAACAAGCTATAATGGCTTATTACCTTTACCTTACAGTAATTTATTAGCAAATATGTTGCAAAAATCAGCAATTCCAGGGCTAAAAGTATTAAAGACACTTGTTAAAAAGAACTCGGCTTTCACTTTATAAGTGTAAAATAGCTTTCAGTGAATTTTACAGATACAGACATCAAATCTTGTGAGATTTTAAAAATGTTATTAGCTTGATGAACATTTACTCCTTCCTTCAATCAAAAATATTCATCTCACCTCTTTTTCTGCCAGACTTACTAAATTACTAAATTTTACATCTGTGTTTCTTCTTGAGTTAACATATAATAACATATAATAGCAATTTTACATACCACATCAGTGATTCCCTCTTTTCTAGTTTGTGTACCAATTGATAAGATTTTGTATTAATTTGTATTGCATACCCCTTTATAATATTTGAGTACCTCTACTTTTCAGAACTAGACCCCATCCCTCATCCCCTTACAATATTTCTGCAACATATCCTACTAACGTAGTATTTTAAGCAAAAATCTATTTTTTAACAACTTATACCTTTATATTTTAACAAGAACTTAACATTTAACAACTCTAAAAGACAAACGTAAAACTAATGTAAAATGTAATGTAAACTATTTTAAAACAAATCTTTACTCTCAAACAAATTTGACTTTAATACAATTATAAATAAAGACTGCTTTGTAATTCATTTTGTGATTCACTCTGTTAAAAATATTGGCTGCCAATAGTTTTATACAACTCGTTATGACAAAATAGGAAAGGGGAGTGGCTACATACAATGAATAAGGAATTGAACTATATAAATGGTGTGATTTGAGTTAGTTACCACAAATTACATAGCCTTTGAACTGGTTTTGGTCAGTGACAATCCCAATGGAATTCGCCACAGTTACTTTGCCTTTTATTCAGCAACACATTTAACTTTCCTATCTTTCTTTTTCTATTAGCATTAATTACAATACATTATTGGTTTCTTCCATTGCTGTTAATTTATTCATGTACTCCCAGGGATTTGCGTACCACGGGTTGGAAACAGCTGTACCAGATACCAGAAAAATAAGCCCATGCAAATTTTACAAATATTTGAATTTTGAATTAATAATATCAAAAATTGCAAAATTTACTTTGTGAGAAAAATTATTTTAAAATATGTATTTAAGTACTCATAATTTGATTATATTTGAAATACAGGGTTATCCAAATTAAACTTCCCCAACTCAGAGGCCTGTGCAGAGTGCTGTATGGGTCATAATGTGATGAAATTTTAAAAATGGACCCTTCAGATCATGCGCTCGAGATTTATTACACAAAAAAAATTAGTACAAGAAGTTGCCGATAGGTAGCGCTGTAACACTAGTAATGTGCATATTGCAGCAACATGATTTGCAGAAATAAAGCTTCTGCGCAACTTACCCAAAAGACAAACCCTACAAAAGTGGAAGACAGGCCTCGCACAGGCAGTTGTTTCCAGCTCGCTGATGCACAATGGTGACTTTGAAAGACAAAGCTCTGTTAGTGAAACTTTTCTACCAGAATGACGAGAACTCCTGTGCTGCGATAAGAGCATTCCGTCGGCTGACGATCTTAAGCCGAGGACCAATGACACTACGCGCTCTACGAGACATAATGAAGAAGTTCGAAAGAACAGGACAGCTGGGAATTTTACCAGGTAGAGGATGACAGGTTGTGGAATCTGCACGCGAGAAGACGTTGCTTTGGCAGTCGGGGACCCCACTAGCCAATCGCCACGTGGTGTTGTCGGTGTGCCAACTGTTTCTTGTGCTGTTGATATGTCCTATACGACCGTCTGGCGTGTGATGCTTCGAATCCTCGGTTATTTTCCTTACAAAATCCATAGTCGTCATCAGCTGTCCGACGTGGATCTTGTAGTTCGGGAAACATTTGCGTTGCAGTTCCTTGCCAGAATGGAAGTCGATGCTGCTTGGCCGTGGAACATTCTTTGGACGAATGAGGCCCATTTTCACCTGAATGGTCAAGTGAATACGCACAGTTGCCACATTTGGGCAAGTGAAAACCCGCGCGCAATCCTTCAAGTGCCCTTGAACGCTCCAAAGGTTACTGTATGGTGCAGTTTCACTGCAACATTCGTCATTGGGCCTTATTTTTTTGAAGAGGTGACTCCAACAGGGTTCAAAAACCTGCTCTGTCACAGGAAAACGGTATCAGGACATGTTGACAACATTTGTGATCCCTGAACTGTGCCAACGTGGCCGCCTCCAGGAAATGATATTTATGCAGGATGGTGCACCTTCCCATATTTTTCGTGGCGTTCAACAGGTGTTATGGGCAACTTTTACCGATGCACGTGTGATCAACCGCTGTTTCCCTACAACTTGGCCTCCCCACTCGCCTGATCTCACGCCATGCGACTTTTGGTTATGGGGATTCTTAAAGAATCGGGTCTACCTGGAACACCCAGCAACCTTGGCACATCTGAACGCAATTATTCGACATGTCCACTGTGGAACACACTGCTTTGCGAATGGAAAGAGTTGTGGAGAACCACGGCACACATATAGAACATCTGTAGAATGTCTGTTTGATCTGCAGTGCCACCTATCGGCAACTTCTTGTACTAATTTTTTTTGTTTAATAAATCTCGAGCGCATGATCTGAAGTGTCTGTTTTTAAAATATCATCACATTATGACACATACAACACTCTGCACAGGCCTCTGAGTTGGGAAAGTTTAATTTGGATAACCCTGTACATATATATTTTACATTAATTTAGTTTTTACTTAAAAGTTTTATTTTTTTCAGGCAAGAGTTATGTCCTTTACTTGTTGCTCTTTTGGGCTCTCCAAAAACAGATAAGAATATTGTTTCATCCCAGAAAAGTATTGAAGGAAATGAAATTGGTAGAGGTTCTGGTGTTTTAGCTGCTGCACCTTCATGTCAAAGTATGGAGGCGAAGACAATTTATAGGTATCTTTTATTTTAGTAATGATGGATAATATTAGTGTAGTTAATAGGCAAAACTGCATCGACATTTTTGTGTATTTTATTTTCTATATTGATCTAGCTTATCTGTTTTATTGCTGTCTGTATATTTTATTTTTGGGGTGCTTTCTTCGTGATACAGCTTTCTATCTTTCGGATGGCATCTACTCTTTTCTAGAACACAACTTGTTCCTGACTCACCTTGTGTGGCTGAAGTTGCAAGTTTTAGAATGTTAACTGGGTACAATTGCCTCCATGCTCATCTTTTTTGTTTTAACATTGTGGACTGTCCTACATGTTCTCTTTGTATGGCTGTACAAGATATGGCTGCTTTACATTTGAACGAGTGCCCTGCATTATCTGCTTTCTCTTGCTGTGTGACAAGATATTTGAGAATCTGTTGTCTAATGACCTAGTGGCCAAATGACAGGCATTTGTTAAATAAAAATATTAATTTTTGGAGGGATGACTTAAGTGAAGAGCATAACACATTAAAAATACATGTGAGTAAACATAGTAAAATTATTCTGTTCTTTATTTCAGAAAAATTAGGTAGTTTTGATAGTATTATTCTGTTCTTTATTATTCTGTCTGTAATAAAGTTATTTTGTTCTGTATTTCAGAGAAATTACGTAGTTTCAATAGTATAGTTTTTACTTACGCAAATACTGTCATGTTTATGCATAAAGTTTACATTGTTGTCTTGAAACTGAAGTTTTTGTTATTCTGAATTTTGTCTACATTTTCCTTTTTCTAATTTTTGTGTTAAATTTAGATTGTACATAAATAACTAACTGAAACATGCTCATGCATTAAGATTTTATTTGATGAAGAATTATGTAACACAAGGATATTATATATTAAAAATATAATTATCTGCAATGTTAATACCTGAGAAATGTAGTGGAGAGAAAAAGATAGGTAAAGAAAATTAAAAAACAAAAACAAAACAACAAAAAAAAAAAAAAAAAAAAAAAAAAAAAAAAAAACCTATAAATAACTTTTTATTGCTTACATTTGCAAAGTGCATACGGTGAGGATTAGCACTGCATTTAAATTTGAGCTCAATATCTGGACAAATGTATTCTTTGCATATGCCAATCACATAAACTAAAAATTAATTTAAAAACAAAAAATAAATGCATTCCCGAAAGCAGGAATTTTATTTAAAATTAAAAAGTTATGTAGATTTGTTACTTGCATTTACTAAAGAAAATAAATTAAAAAAGAAAAAGCTACAAATCTGAAAGCTTTTAGATTTTATATTAACTCCCAAAGTTTTTTTTTTTTTTTTTTTTTTTACCATTTACACACACATACGTGTTTTGGGAGCATTTAGTTTAATGTCCCTTTGGGCTAAAAATATTTTAAAACATCATATATCTACAGAATTTCTGATAGACATTCTCATGTACTGGAGATAAAGATGCCCTCCCCATATAATGGTTGCTTTGAAATTGTTGAATTTGTTAATAAAAAATTTGTTAAAGTTTCACTAAATATGAAATAGTAAAGCAAATCCAAAAATTCATATTCATACTTCTACGTGCCTATATTCAGAGGACTATGTCATTCAAAATTTGATGGCTTTAGGTATCATTTTTTCACAGTGCGAGAAACATACACACATTCATGCAGATTCTTCATCATTTAATTTCTTTAAATATAATACAGGGCAATAATATTGGTGGCAATAATTTGAAAAGTGAAATAGACATTTATAGTGAACTGATGCAAAGTGCCGTTTCCAAACTAATAGCACTTCTGAGCTAATGTCCCTTTGGGCTAAAAAGCTTAAACAAACATAGTAGAAATGCTAAATACAGTAATCTTTAATATCCATCATTTTTTATCAATTGCCTACCAATTGTATTAAATTATGTAAATTAGCACTAAAATCTAGTTACTTGTATATTTAGCCCAAAAAGCATTAGCCCAGAAGGGCTATTAATTTCGTTTTGGCATTTTGCTTTAAACTTGAAAAGTCTGAATCGCTCTTTAAATTGTTGCCACCAAATATTATCATCCTGTATTATATTTAAAGAAATTAAATAATGAAGAAACTGCATAAATGTATATATGTTTCTTGCATTGTGATAAAACGATACCTAGAGCCATCAAATTCTGAATAATGTACATCTCCACCAGAATAGGGTATCTGGAAGCCCAAATTTGGAATTTGTTTCATTATCTGTTTCATATTTTGTGAAGCATTTATGAGTTTTTGATTAAGAACCTTGATGATTTCAAAGCAAGCAATGGCAACACGGTACGGGAAAAAAAACATTTTAATCACCAGTGTTCAAGACTGTGTATCAGAAATTCTAAAGATATGCTCTTTTAAAATTATTTAGGGATATTGCTCTTGAATTGAATTTTATGTTTAAGGCGGGAAGAACATGATATTTAATAAATAAATGTAATGCACAAGACTTCTCTAAAAAAATCTCCTCTTAACCTAAAAAATGTCCCTTTGGGCATAATATAAAATCTGAAAGCTTTCAGATTTGACTCAGTTTCATTATAGTTTTGTTGTAAATATATATGTACAGTAAGACCCCACTTAACGCGGGGGATACGTTCCATCGAAGTAGAGCGTAATGCGAAACAGCGCTAAGCGAGGCTATCTTAACATGTAAATAATGAGGTTAGGGGAAGACGGATAAAAAATGGTTAGGCATTAAATTTAATAATGTTTTTTTTTAATAAAAATAAAATCAAACATTTATTTCTTACAAAAATAAAAAACAATATAAACGCATAAACTTTTAAAAAAACAAATAAAATTCTCAGTCAGATCATTCAGTCTATTCTGGGTTTCAATTTTCTGCCTTTTTGTTAAGAAGGCATTATGATAGATTGGCTTAATGGCATATTGCATTCAATTTCGTCGTCAATCCATATAGACAATCATTTTTCCATTTCCTCTATAATGTTATTTCTAGAACGGGTAATTCTAGTTGCAGAGCTTGACGTAGTTGCAGTTGCCGATGACAGTATTTTTTCTTTATTCTTAAGAATTGTCCTTATTGTTGAAGTTGCCAAAATCAATGCAGCACTAATTTGAGATTGACGTTCACCAGAATCTAATCTTCTAATCACTTGCATTTGAGTTTCCAGTGAAATGCTTTTTCTGGTTGCTTTCTTTTCTTGTTTTTTATTATCACCCATGATAAAAACTAAAGATCATAATATTTGTCACTGTATTAATCGTTATAGTATTATACAAATTTAAACTTACAATAATGTCAACAAATGTTTCAAATGATAAAAATGCGTCCACCAAGCAAGAAACACAACTACACTGTTTCGGATATGTTATTTGGAAACCTAGCGCTGCGCACAATTTCGGAGAATCCCCGGGTTGAAATAAAAGAGCGCTAAACCGAAACAGCGCTAAACGAAACAGCGTTAAGCGGGGTCTTACTGTATATATAATTTATCATGCTTATTTAAAAATTCACAGCTCTTTAACATATAAATTAAACATGCTATTTTTTAAAATTTATTAGCATTGCAATTGAACTTGTTCGGCTAATTGGCAGTGTGGGATCTTTGCGGCCAGTTTTGGAATCTCTTTTTCACCGAATGCTTTTATATCCACCAGTCCAACACAGACTTGAGGCATTAAAAGCTGTGAAAGAGGTATCACTTATGTAATTTTTAACGAATAAGATATTTAATGCTTGATTTTATGGTAAATGGCTTCGAATTTCACTGCATTTTAGATATAGAACATGATTTGAATTTATATTTGTGCAAATATGAACAATGTACTCTCAATTGCAAATGTGTAATAAAGAAAAATGGTGTTAAATAAATGTATTATGTTTGCATTGCTTAAATTATTTTTCTTTTTAAAAATTTGGCTTTTTTTTTTTTACTTTATGGGCATTCTGTTGCAAATATATATATGTATAACTAATTAAAGTAAAAAGAACAAACGAAAATAGACCTATGTGGTTGAAAACTTTGTGCATTGAGCTGCAAAATTTAGAAAAAAGTTAAAAGAAAATTCCTAGTTCGTGCGCTAAAATGCTGCTTAGATACTGTGGTTCTGTGAAAATATTAGCATAAGTAAAATAAGGTGAAATGAAATGTGTAATAAAGATAAACAATGCAAACACTTGAATATTTACAAATAAAATTCAATACTAATTGTAAGCAATATGTTAATCAAAGTAAGGCATATTTTAAACATTAGAATTAAAATGCGACGAATGATTTAAGCAAAAATATAAAAACAAAGAAGCGGTAAATGGTAGATTCGCCTAATTCAAATCTCATTATGGCTCTTCAGGGGAAATTTTTTTTAATGATTTTCGAATCAAGCTAACTCCATATGCATTTCGCCGAAACAGGCAATTGAAACTGTATACGAAACACTTTTTATAAATTAATTGAAAAAACTTTGCCAAAAACTTTTGACTGAATTCTCTGTTCCAATTTCCTGATGCGTCTGCTTGAAGAAACACATTAAGGTGTAATAAAAACTATAGATAAATGGATTGGTAATGCTGATGTACAAAATAAAATAAATAACGATTTGCTGTTAGTGAAAATATACAAGATTTTATGGGAGGACGGACACACACACACACACACACACACACATATATATGTATGTATGCATCCCATAAAAACATTAATTATGGTCAAAAACTCAGCATGCATTTATGACAGATGCTTAAGGTTTTTGAGCTCATCTTCCACCTCTTCATAAATATCCATATCTCTCCTTTTTTAATACATCTGTATTTAGATTTTTTTTTCCATGTGCTGATCACTGAGTGTTGAAAGATGAAGAAATGAAGAAAATTTTGATAACAAGTTCCGAGAAATGGGCACTGTCATCTCTTAATGGAACTGTCATATCTTAACCCTCCACATATGGCTTAATTTTTGTATTTTCCTATTCTGAAATAGGGACTGAATAGATGAATACAGCCCATGCTAGCATCATTGGAATGTTTTGATGAACAATTCAAAGCTTTTATGCAAATTCTCTACAATGAAATTGACCCTGTATAACCATATATTGTCGAGATAATGAATATTAAGCCAGTTTCATTCTGCATAGAGAAAGAATGGGATTCTTATTCAAATCAAGGGAAAAAATCTTCTCTGATTTTTCACATGAATCACAGAAGCAGACCAACTTGATAATCCCACTCAAACTGTGGGTTGTGTCATCTTGTAATGAAACTTAAACTTGTTTATATTCTGTGTCTCTCCCCTTTGTAATTTTCAGCAATAATAATTAATTAATTAATTAATAATTTTTCTGATTAATTTTTATTCAGTTTGATCTAATTTAATCTGTTATGGGAATTTGTAAAACTTTTTATGAAGATTTAACTAATATTTAATAGAAAAATATTAGTGTTTAATTTTGCTGTAATATTATATGATGCATTACTATTTATGTAATTATATGCAAATTAATTATTAATTTTATTTTATTGTGTTTTGATAAATAAAAGCATTTCATTTCTTTACCACTGCAGTTGTGTATGTATACTAATTATTAATTTTGTGCTTAAAAAGGTTTTGATAAATAAAAGTTATTCGTTCCCTATTTAAGGTTTCATCAATATAAAATTTTAAGAATCAAATTACAAAATCAAAAGAAGTTTAAATGAAATCAAATAAATGTAAGAAATGTAAAATAAAATTAAAACAATGAATGAAAGTAATATATTTAATATTATAACTAGTTTGACAATTCAAATGATGCAATATAAAGTGGCCTTATGCCAAATCCATCTATTTGGAGTACTTTTGAATTTGTGGCAGCACATAATGCAAAAATTTTATTTCTCATATTTCATAATTGATAGCTGTAATGTTATTTGAAACAAATATGCAAAAGATTAAAACTTTGGGGGAGGATAGGTGGAAGTGAGAAGATTGCATTTTAGAAAATGGTAAATCCTCTTCTATACAAAAACAATATTCAGAGTCAGTTAAGTTATTTATTTCTCTTTGCAGAAAATTCTATCTCAAATTTTACATCTTCTAATTTCTGATAGGCTGAAATTGCCTTCTTAGCATGTCTAGTCCAGGAATAAATGTATGCATCTGGATATATATGGAATACTAAATCCTCTAGAACCTTGCCAAAAATATGGCATTTGAGTGGTTTGACAATATAAGCAGAACAATTAGCTACAGAATATTGCTAAGATGCAGGTTGTCAGCAGGGCCACTAGGCATTTTGCTGCCCATTGCAATCTCTGTGAATGCTAAATTCTATTGCGAAGCATCTCTCCAAGTTCTGAAAATTTTGCCACGCATAAATTCTGCTGCTAGTCCTACTTCTAAGTTCGAAAAATTTTGATGCTCTATGCTTTTAAATTCTAAAAATGTTGCTTCTTTAAATTCTGCCACCTGGCATGACTGCACTGGTTCTAGTACCTACTCTGACTGTCAGATTACTTCGCAGCTCGTCTACAGGCGATTGGCTGACCTAAAAAATGACTTTTCAAATTATCATGTCCTATGTAATGGCCATATACTACTTGATAATAAATGCAGATCGGAATGCTGGCTACCTGTTCTTAACACACATATGTAAAGGTTATTTGCATTGAGAGAGAAGTGGAATTAATCAGTAAAAACAAATCACTTCATTTGTACATTGTCCAGATTGACAGAGCTGTGTAACAATCTAGATAGCTCTGCTTAAGTTAATCCTTAACCCCTTGAGGACCAGCGCGCATAGAACAAAGCACAGCCACGGGACCGAACCTCCTGAAATGGAATGTCACCACCGGCCCATGCATTTTCAGCAGTTAAGCCTACTTTTACAAAAAAAAAAAAAAAAAAAAAGATATAAAATCAGCATTTTAATATAATGACCTCAATTTTTGAAGTTACGTACTTATTATATCAATTCTTAATATGTATTAATATTAATATGAAGAATATCACGTTAATAGAAATAAATGAAACATGCAAAATACTAAATTTATAATTGTATGCATGAAAATGAATACTATACTCATGAAAACAGAATTACAAATACGAAATGTAAAAGGAAATTAAGTAATAATTATCTCTAGGTAATTAAATTCCAATTTAATAATTCTGCTGTGTGTCAAATAATTCATAACGAGGATCAACACACAGGGCAATGACGACTTTTTTCGCCGAGCAAGTGAGATGCATCAGGAAAACTGATGTCTTTCCCCTTCTGTAATAATGCTGTAAAGTTGCTTTTAAATTAATCAAGAAAGTATATGTTAAGTTTTAAAATAAATATGAAAAAGTACAACTGCTCTAAATTTTTCCATGACTGAAGTTCAGCGATGTTTCACCCCATATAGTCAGCTAAATGCACTTTCCCACATTCTCCTAACAGAAAAAAAAAAAAAAAAAGCTGGATGAACTTCCCTACATTCTAATAATGGAAAATCCAAGGAATAAAAATGAAGACAACAAAAGAACAAAATTCCTAATGAAATAAACAAACATGCAGGTGTCCCTTTAAACCTAAAAAGGTGTGATTCTCAGTTTGTTTATACCAATTGATCTATCAAAACCAGAAGCGCAGCCCAGAAGCACTAATTTGTTTAACTCTGTTAGTACTATTAGTACACCGAGTATATTTGCCTATAGCTCAGTTTTTAATAGATACATATATTTTTTTTGTTGTGGTATTATAGTATATTTAAAGCAGTGATAATTAAAGTATTTTTAATATCAAATGCATCAAAATATAAGAAATGTTTGTTATAAACTTATAATAGTTAGGATAAAATTCTAACTTTTACATGAATGCTATGCTATTTTTTTATATTTGTGTTGATATTTTTTAACTCGTGTCCTCAGTTGTTTTAAAATTAATATTTCTTTTTAAAGTTGAGACTTGGTGCTTTTTGCAGTTATTTTGCTTTCTACTAACAACACTAATATAAAAAGTTCTTTTCTACTTACTAACACACTAACTTGTTGTTTATGCAGTTATTTTCAAAGCCAGAATTAATCCTTCAATTAGCTGCTCCACCATTATATGCCACAAGTGACAAAGATTGGATATCCTTGGATTTGGATCTCATTAAAATGTGCGTATTATGAATGTTTGCAATATGTATGAGATGCTTAGTATATTGCAGTCATACTTTTGAATATTTATACAGCATAATAAGGCATGTTCTTTCTAATAGGTAAAATATATATATATATATATATAATAAACATTGAAATAAAATTCTAGCTATGTATATATGGTGATTTTCTGTTATACACCTGCCAAACATTTTTTGGGCATTAAAGACACAATTAAATCTATTAAATTAAATTAAAGACATCTGCACACAAGTGTTTTGGTCTCCAGATACCTCTATGATTGGGTCTCAGCCTATGTTTGGCTTCTTTTTCATAGGTACCAAACAACATGGAGGTGCATAACAGAAAAGTAATGTTAATTTTTGTAGCAATTTATTTGTCGATAAAATCCTTTTTTCTTTTAGTATTAACAATGGTAAAAAATATAAATTACATTTGCATACGGAAAAAAAAAAAAAAAAAAAAAAACTGTGGCAGCTTTTAAAATTTATCTGAACATATAAAACTCATAAATTTTAAATTAGCATAATTTCATTCTACTTATGATAATTATTCGGTTTTTTGAATTACTCATATTTTTGTATGTTGTTACACTATTCTATATCAAAACATTTAATATTTTCTTTAGAAATACTCAAAAACACTATTTGTTTATCATATTTTATACTAAATTTTCAAAATTATTCCATTCACTTCTTATCAACAATTCAAAATTTTCAACATAAATTAAAAAAATATAATTATTTAGTTTCATATCCTTCCCTAAAAGTACTTTAAATATCTTGAAATTCATTACTTAATTTTGTCACACGTAATTATGAAAAGTTAAATCTTTTGAACAAAAATTTGTTGTGGCTATTGTGTTGTGGAAGTTTTGGAAAAGAAAAGTTATTTTCTCATATAAAGTTAATTAGAAATAAAAAAAAACTTATGAATTAATTGTATAATATCCAGCAGAAATGAATGTTTAATCAATAACAAACTTGAATGTGGTGTGTTAGTAAAGATAACTGTGTAGTATTCTAACAGAAAAAATTCTACCTTTCATATGTTAAATTTATTTCTTTCAAGAAGTCATTCCAGGTAGCTAGCAATTCTGTCTGGGTTTGTGGTAGATTTAAAAGCATAAAAAAATGATGTTTTGCCATGTAAAAAATGTTTTTGTACTTTGGCATAGGTTAGCATTGCATACCATGATTGCACATTCCTGGGTGTATTTGAAATATTTGCTTTGAAATTATCAGCAGTTATTTCTGGTTGGGAGAAAAAAAAATCCAGTCTTCTTTTTGATTATCAGCTGAAATGAATCACAGTGTTCATTAATCTGTAGAAAAGATTTTATATTTAGTTTTCAAACTAATATAAATTGATCTAAAATGCTACTACATTTTTAGTGTAAAATAGTCAATGTATCACAGAAAGTGGCATTAAGTTATTTTTTGCCATTTATGCATCTTCTGTCAACATCGCTGATGTGATTAATAATATATATACAGTACAAAGTCAGTAATCTGGACGTCCATTATCCTGAATGATCTATAATCCGGACCTCAAAGCCACAGACTTACTTGTGCGCTAAAGTGTTTACCCATGCGCGTCTGCTATACATGCGTGTAAAGCGTTTATCCATGCGAGCTTCCGATAGAAAGTGACAGAGAGGTTATTGAAAATGAAAAAATTGCGATTGACAAGTTAGTCAGTATTCTCAACACAGCAATTACAGGACTTGAACAGTGGAACTTTGTAACTGAACAAGAAATTATGTTTGTTTATAGAATTAAAGAGAAAGTATTAACACAGAAAAACGAAGCAACTTGAACAACTTACATTGAAAGAAATGTTTAATAAGGTAAACAAATAAATATTAAGCTTTTTTTTTGTTGTAAATTTTGATACCCTTTAGATCATAATTGCTCTTTAAAATTATGGTTCATAAATTATGGTTTCATATTTTTAATTGTATAATTTCTGCATGCCATCTTACCAGATTTAAATTGATTATCTATAATCCGGAAAACCCCTAATCTGGAATCGCCTGGAAATTAAGTAAGTCCCAACGAGTCCGGATTACCGACTTTGTACTGTATTTTATTTGTTTATCCACTTTTCCTAACAGCGTTTCATCATTCAAAAGCTCAAAATTTTTATCTTCATGTGAACATAACTTGGGTTTTACTTTCCCTTAAGACAAAATTATTAAATATGCTGTGGACTTTATAATTTGCATTAAAATTTTGCTTAAAGTTTCTGAAGTTTGAATGTGCTGTTTTGCAAAAATGTGAAATTTTTGTTCAAAAGATTTAACTTTTCATAATTATGTGTGACAAAATTAAGTAATGAATTTCAAGATATTTAAAGTACTTTTAGGGAAGGTTATTAAACTAAAATAATTATATTTTTTAATTTATGTTGAAAATTTTGAATTGTTGATAAGAAGTGAATGGAATAATTTTGAAAATTTAGTATAAAATATGATAAACAAATAGTGTTTTTGAGTATTTCTAAAGAAAATATTAAATGTTTTGATATAGAATAGTGTAACAACATACAAAAATATGAGTAATTCAAAAAAACGTATAATTATCATAAGTAGAATGAAATTATGCTAATTTAAAATTTATAGGTTTTGTATGTTCAGATAAATTTTAAGAGCTGCCACTGTTTTTTTTTTTTCGTATGCAAATGTAATTTATATATTTTTTTTAAAATAGTGGAGTGTGGTTAATTTTCTTAATCTAAATGCAATGTTATAGTGCAGTTCAAAAAGGATAGTTGCTTTTAAACAAGAAATGGAGGCCTTTATAAGTAACTGTCCATGTGTACCTTTAACCGCTTCCCTTACAAATTTTTTTGAAAATAATTGCACAAAATCATCACATTTTTTTATTTTCTTATTAAATACAACAAAACGAAACAAATCAGAATATGTAGGTTTTAAGTTGAATTTTTATTTTTTTGAAGGTGTAAAAGCATTTATTTTTAATATTAGTTTACTATCCCGAGTTATCTCGGGCAAACGAAAAAAAGTTAAATATTAATCTTTGTATGATAGTTTTTGAAACAAGGGACAACACAGAGTGATACCTGACGTTCTACACTGGTATCTGGTCTCTTTTTCTTACTGGCTTACCGCTGGAATCTCTTTCACAGGAGCACAGAGTACACTGTCTCGTTGGATTTGATTCTTTTCTTACCTTTTCATATTCACTGTCTGAAAAATCATCGCTTTCGCTACCTTCCATCATCGCCATTATTTTATTTTTTTCCAACGCATGCATCCTTCTTTATACATTACTAATCCACAAGCCAACTTATACTGTACAGTAGGAAAACACGCAACCAGTCCCTCCAAAAGAACCACGCAACGAATAAAATTTGGCAAACAGCCAATCAAAGCTAAATACAGTCAAAAGTCGTTAATCCGGACTCGTCGGGACTTCGGCGATTCCGGATTATCGATTTTTCCGGATTATAGATTATCAGTTTAAATCTCGTAAGATGGCATGCAGAAATTCTAAAATTAAAAATATAAAACCGTAATTTATGAAATAAAGAACAATTATGATCTAAAGGGTATCAAAATTTGCAAAAAAGAAAAAGCTTAATATTTATTTGTTTACTTTATTAAACATTTCTTTCAATGTAAGTTGTTTAAGTTGCTTTGTTTTTTATGTGATAATACCTTCTCTTTAATTCTATTAAACAGACATAATTTCTTGTTCAGTTACAAAGTTCCGCTGTTCAAGTCCTATAATTGCTGTGTCGAGAACACCGACTAATTTGTCAATCGAAATTTTTTCGTTTTCAATAACCTCTGTCACTTTCTTCGCTATCGGAAGCGAATTATAATGACGAGGAACTTGTTTTAAATCATATCAAAGACGGAGCATATCGAGATGAAATACTACATTTGGTAAGGAATTATAAGCCAAATAAAATAAAAACATCTGCGCTGAAAATAAGGATAGTGCTGACAGATCAACTTCCAATTCATTATGCACCCGTCGCGGCGTTCCCCCCGCCGAGCAGCGTGAAATTGATAAACAGATATCGGATTTCAAAACATACTTTCGCTTTAGATCCTTTACATATTAACAAATATATATCGGAAATTCTATTTGATATAATCGAAAGTTTAAGCTTACTTTTATAAAATTGCTCTTACAGTCTGCAAAAAATTATAAGCCGGATCCAATTCGAAAATTAAGGAACAACGCAATCATCAACATTAACTGAAATAGATAATTAGATAATTTTAGCTCATACGTCCATCATATATAAAACGCGCACGCGAAAACGTATTCTGCACTTGCGCACACTCATATGCGCAGTCATAAAAGGTCTTACGCGCACGTGTAAACGCCTATGCGCATGTGTCAACGCGGCGCATGCGCAGAAAGTTTTTAGTTTTGAGGTCCGGATTATAGATCATTTCGAATTATGGGTGTCCGAATTAACGACTTTTGACTGTATTTCTTTTCATTTCCTCCAGACCGAGTAAAACAGTGATAAAGGAAATCGTACTAACAAATTCTGCTTCGCCCGAGTTTTCTCGGGATAATAATTAACTGCAATATATATGAACCCGAGATAACTCGGGATAATCAGGCAAGCGGTTAACCATTGGTGAAAATTCATATACTAATTTGTTAATGTGGATTTGCCTAATCAATAAAAATTTTTGTTTAACAGGAAGCTGTGGGGTGTTCCAGTTTGTAAAAAATAAGTAAATTAGAAATGTCGATAATAATAGAAAGCATAATTTCAGCAATATTATTTCAATTGATATTTCAAATGAAAAGTCGGTAACATTATAATATTTTCAAATTTCTTGTGATTTTATAATGTAATTAGAGGTATTTAGAATTTTTATATCTGAAAACTTTGAAAACCTTCCCTAAACAGATAAAATTATTAAGTTTATTTATTTTCTTATTTTTATATTCACAAAATTATGTGGTCCATATTAATATTATTGTAAGGCAGTGTAAAATTT